AATTTATAGAGTGCGACAATATGTTGCTGTCTGCCATCGCAAGGCAAAACTTTTCCACTCTCGCTCAAGAAAGTAAGATTTCCAGTTCCCTCTTTACTCCGGCCATTGTGTGGGTTATGTGTGTGTGTGTGTGTTTGATGTTGCTGGGTATGGGTGTGGGTATGGTCTACATTTTGGGAGGTCAAACACATGATCACATAACATTTAATACCGTTTTGTGTTTAGCATTTTCTTGCGTAAATGCGAGTCGAAAGTCAAGGCTATTAACAAGCATTGCAATGGACGAGCGGATACGCAAATGGTCAAGTGTGGGCGCACTCGTTTTTATGTAATGTTCGCATTACAGCTCTCCAGATGGGACCTAAAAACAGGCCAATAAACACTGAACGAAATATGCACAATGACCCCATATCGAGAAAGGGATGCGGAAATGTTGACCCTTTTTGCAGCATCAGCATGTAACCGAATACGATACAATGCATAGTTATTGCTTTCCCACATTTAATCATAAATTGTTTTCATGGGCTTCCTTGTACTCGTAAATCAACAATTTTTTTATAATAACGACCAGCCATTTATTATTGTTTCTTTTCTAGCACTATTCCTTGAACAGTTGAGTAGTTCTATCTTAATAGCTATACAGCTTTTCATGAACTAAGCAATACCCAGGAACCATCATCACAGAGATTTAAGTTTAATTTCAAATGCATCACATTTGCCCCACTGTGCAGTAGAGTGTTTAAGAGGGTATATGTGTGTGTGTGTGTGTGTCTTTGTGTATGTGCTTGGCATCAACATTATTATCAATGCTGCTTTTGCAAATTATCAAATATCGTAGCTGTCAGCCGCAGCGCATATAGAGAACACACGCAGGCCTCATCGTGATTGATAAATGAGATTTACCTTTTAGTGCGCCTAATTGTATGCAACGACACAGACGCTCGCATACATACGGTAGAGCGCCGGGAAACCAACTCTAATAATCACAAACGACATAATGACAGCAATTACGTGCATTAGTTTAAAGTCAAGCGACACAGCAACAACTGGACATCTGGACAACAACACCCAGTTAGTTAGTCGGTTAGTTAGTTGGCCAGGCCCAAAAGCTGCATGTCTGGCTTAATTATCAAAGCCACAATGGAAAATCGTTGACTGGGCTTAGGTGTGCCCCTAGCAAAGCGTTAATACCTCGATCCTATTGACATATGAGTGACGTGCTGGTAAGCAAATAGCATAATTGGGAAACCGAAGCTATGGCCGTGCCCCTGCCACCTGCCCTTGCCCCTACCCGTTTCCATGCAAAAATATTTGTATATTTTTCCCATCTAGATCTTTGACAGCTTAACAGCCGCAAGCTGGCATTCCTTATTGTTCGCTCTGTCGTCTCACTCATAAGGCCTCAAATTACGACACCCGCATGTCAGACCTCATCTAGCCAGTAATCTCTGCCCAGACTTTCATGCCATTTAGTTGGCATTTAATTAATTTTCAAAGAAAGAGAAAGACATAACATTGAGGTACAGTGGAAACTGCTGTCAGTGACAGCGACCTAGACATGACAAATCTGTCATACAAACGACAAAAAATGAGTCACCGCATAGGTTGTGGCTGAAAAATTGCAAGCTAAGTCTAACAATGAAGTTTTTCAAGGGGTTGATAGCCCCCAGCCATATGTATGTATGCGTATGTTTGTGTATCTTCAGAAGGCTTGCATGGGGTTATCTTCATACTTTATGCAGCCTACCCTCATTAAACATTTAATCAATGCCTTTATGATGATGGTTATATGCTACACTGAAGCTGTATTATTGTCGGGGGCATGAGCTATACTTGTATGTGGAAAGGGAAACGACGGAAAGAAAGTTCTCTATCATGTGTTCAATGCAAGGGGTGCAGATATGAAAGGCTGAGGCACGTTCCATAATTCCTTCAAATTCGCCATAAGTATAGTAAATTAATTGCATGGGCTTCATAGTAAGGGGTAGGACAGACTTTTGTGTGGGTTGTGTCTTTAATAATAACTTTAAATTACATAAATGAAATGAACTAATTTAATTCTTATCAAATATTCAAATCCGTTGTGATAAGTCATTCAATAAATTAAGTAGAATTGAAATTAATGTAACAAAAATATCGAATTTGTCGAAAAAGGGAATGTTTTTTATTTTAATTTAAGAAATAAATAATATAAATATAAATATAATTTGAAAATGCTTGTGGACAAAATAATCAATTTATGCCTATTATAGCCAAGTTTTTCTTGACGTTAAATAGAAAGTGGTTTTTAGTCGAAATGTGCGACTGTCATCAACTTGGCCAACTATTAGCAATGCAAACGAAGGCTGTTCCTGGATGTCCGAAAAATTTGCACGATTTGTAGTCAAGCGTAGATCTGGCCCTGTGGCTAAATGGATTGTTATGCATGAACTCATTTAAATGGCAGCCATCATCACACAGATATGTGTGCCACATTTTAAAGCACAACATCATTGAAATAAAACCATCCCTTCAAGCACGCCCCGTCCATCCTGCTCAGAGCAATTGGTGGGTATGCCCTTCACGCACATGCTGCGGCGTTGCGTTGTTGCGGTATTTTTGTTTAGCATACTCTCAGGGGCATTTTGAAAATAAACGAACAAAAGATAAAAAGCACACATTGCCGCCGTATGTATGCGTGCATTGAGTGCGCCTTGTGCATGGATATCCTTATTATTGGGTGTGTGAGTGTGTGTGTGTGTTTGTGTGTGTGTAACTGACAAACATATTAAGCGATTTATTATAAATAATTAAAATAGTTTGCAGGCAACATTCTCGCTGCTCATGCCATGTTTATAAACATAAATGTTAACATTTTAATACCACAATAACAACAAGAACAGCATTACATTTTTTCCCCGATGGTCATAATTTAAATAGCTTAAAATTTAACGTATTTGACAGTTGGGTTTTGTGTGCGTGTAATTTAGTTTGGCCATTTTTGTTAGGTTTCTGTTTAATTCCTGTTGGTTTTTGTTGCTCTTATAACATATTAAAAACATTGGAGTGGAAAGTTTTCGGTTGTTCAATAATTTATTTTGATATTCCTCCTCATTGTTAGGTTAGCCGCATGGTTTGTAATTAGGTTGGTGAGCGCGTGGTTTCTCATTGTTGTTATATAGAAAATGTGCAAAACTTTAATTAGGATTATACGGTTTACTGGCTGTTGCGATATATAGACAATGCATATTTAGAAGAAATTTCATGTCTAAAGCCATATGGATATATCTTTTCAATGTATGCACCAAAAGCGTCTGATAAACTGAATAACAAGGTCAAATTTAAATGCTTTTTAATAATTTTTTTACTTTGCACGAAACAGATCTAAAAGGCTTATAGTTGACCTCCATTATCGGCAATATCCTCACACAAACGAATGATGCATTAAGTTAACCTATTTAAAGCATTCGAAAATATATTTAAAATTTGTCTCTTGTCAGGTGACAACGAAAAAATGTTCAATAGTTTTTTGCAAGCGCCACATTTATTATCCAGACCTGTGTCCAAATGCCAAAAACTATGCAACAGAGCTGCTTCTGACAGTAATGTGTACAAACACACACACACTCACACCTTTACCACACACTCTCTGCTAGGAAGACACCCACATAACAACACACATATTTGTGCAAAATGTTAGCCAATAAACTTTTGACCTCATTTTGTCAAAACTATGCAAACACACCGATGTACACAAAAATAATGCCATAAACTATACACAGAGCCGTCGGCAAACGAGTAGTGATATCGAGGATGGGGATCAGGCGGAAACACAACTAACAAAATATTTGTGCTGTTGGGTTGCGGGGGGAGGCAAGCTCATGAGGCTCGGCCATTGAATGGCTGCTGCACACGGCAGTTTTGACTGGCTGCACAAAAAAAGCACAAATATTTTGTTGTTTTATGTAGAGACAGCTCGTAGAAAACTGTCGTTGCTGTTATTGCTTTTGATTCTGTGTTGCTGCTGCCAGAGCAAAGATTATAAATTATAGCAGCCTCACACGGATATTTATGCTGTGTCAATGGTGCCAAGTGGGCCAAAGACAACGACCGCAACAACAAAAACAAAAACCACGAGAAATATATACACATAATAGAGGGAAAATAGTTTTGAAAAAAAGCAGTGAGGGAGGGGTTGAGTGAAAAGAGTGTGAAGCCACTTTAAAGCGTTAGCACTTAAAGCGCATTTCGCTTTTGTGAAGCTTTTGATTTATTTGCTTGACGGCGGCAATCATTAATTTGTTTGCCCAAAAGCTTAGCATACTTTTCAGCTGGCGCAAGCTGTCAGCTTTTGTGGCAAGAGCAAAAGCACCCAAAGGCACCCTCGCAGCTTGTAGCTTGTAGCTCACAGCGGACGGAGAAAAACAAATTTAAATAAAACCAAAGCAACAAAATAATCCGACACATGCGCTGCCAAATGATTGCCTCAACGCTTCACGCAAAGCCGACGCGCACTAATCCCTGTGTGCAGTATCTGCCAGGCTCGCACACACACACACACAGACCCATCCTCATCCTCCGGCCACTACAACCAAACTCAAAAGGGCACACACAGAGACAGCCACACTCGCACACTCGCACATAAAACTGAAATCACTTCATTTTATTGCATGCTGAGCCAAAGCTGACACTCTCCATGTACGAGAGAGTGTGCGTGTGTGTGTGTGTGTGTGTGTGTGTGTGTGAACTTTGAAGAATGAAGCTGAAGAAGAAAATGCCAAAAAAACGCAATCATTTTATGAAATTCGAAGAGATTAAATCAACTTGGAGCTGCAAATATGACGAGCTGTATCATCGATAGAAAGAGGCGTGTGGCATCAGCCACACAATTATCTTAAAATGCGCTTCATTTCCAATTTTTATTTTTAATTTTACGATGTGGACCATTTATTCAAATGAAATTACAATTCAGCCATATATTTGCATGCTTCATTCACAGAAAAAAAAAAAAAACGTTCTAGTTTCCTTAAATCTCCAAAATTATATAATTTTATTACATTTGGATAAGTTCCCAAAATATGTTAAATGTTCTAAAATTAAAAGGAACCTAATATCCATTCATTTTAACGTTTAACCGTCAGTTGTCTCAAATATTTTCAAAGCAGATACATTTCAAGGTGTTTGAACATCAATAGAAAAAAGCTCAAGAGCACTTCAACAATTTTGCTCGGGCATAGAAAGCTTTGTATTGCAGTTCGAGTTTTTTCTTACCGCCACGGTTTTCTTGTTTTCCGATCCCTGTTTTCACTCTCGCTACTCATTTTCTTAGCGCCATCTGGTTTGCTTGGGCACCTTTGGGTTTCGCGGTGCTAAATTCTCTTTGACCGTTTGCTGAATTTGTGAGCTCATATCGGCATCATCTTTCTCTTCTATATCCAAATCCAACTGAGTCTTGCCATCGAAAATACGACACTTTACTTGCTTATTAAACTTAACGCTTCCACGACTGCTGCTCTCCCTGGGTGCGTTTGCCCCCAAATCCTCAGGGATATCGATCTCACGCTGCTCCTCCACATGCAACTGTTCGAGCACTGTGTTGTTTTCGGCATTAAGGCCCACAGACTTGGCTGGATTGTCAGCATTTTCAGGCAACAGTCCGTCACAAGAACCCGTATTACTGGACTCGCTTATCCAGTTCATTTCGTTTTCTTCAACCATGTTGTTTTGAAGGTGCGTGCTGCTACCAGGACTGGGAACAGGCAGATCTTTGCGCTGCCAAATTCCTAATTTATATTCCGATCCATATTTCTGCTTCATTCGCGTTTCCAGTTCATTCAAACGTTCAGGTTCTTCCCGTACAATAGGTTTCTAGAATATAAAACTAATGTTAGGTCCTATGGAAACCGCGAAATTATCCGTAAGCTTACAATTTCGAAATAGTGTTTGTAGATTAGATACGACATGACACCCATCAGTATTGTAAAACCAACAAACATAGTGGCATTCCAGTGGCTTAGTTTTGGGTTCTGCACCACATGCCTTATATCCACCATTTGTAATGCCGACGGGGGGTAAAAGAAGCGTAAAATTTTAAAAGTAACATTCGCCAAGGTGTGGTTCGGATAGGGCTTGATGATGTCTACAAAACGTAACTTCCAGACTTCGTCCGATCCGTGAAGGTCAGGCATTTTCCCTTAATCATACAAACGAGGCTAAGCAGACAAAAAAAAGGCATAATCGATACACACTTACCCTGTTAGGTTCTGATTTAGAGGACAAGTGGTAAGAAGTTTTTTTTTTTAATTTGTTTTTTAAAATTTGTTCGTCTGTCTGTGTTCAAAACGTATCTTACTAAAAATTTGTGATTTAAAATGAGTTTATTGTTTGATCATGATTACAGAAACAAAACTAATGTGATTGGAAGTGACTGAAGACTTATAACTGCATACATAGTTCTGAAATGTATTCCATGACGTACAGGAATAATCTTTATATGCCTTGCTTTATACAAAGGATGTACATAAAAGCGTCATTTTAGAGACTTGTTTTTTATATCTCTCCTTTCGATTGCTTTGTTTAGTAACCCAATGTTTTTATCGTAAGAATTCCAATGGGGCTCTTTTGTTCATTTAAAATTTCAGAAGAGAATGGCGGAAGGCTTGTCCGACCTAAGACTCAGCTACTATACTTGTAGAAAGGAAGCACTTATGCCCCAAAATGTTCTGCGTCGCTTCAATTAAGCTTGAACCCCTTTTGATGGCCAGCCCAATCACAATCAATAAATCATTGCCCACATCTAGGTGCCACATTTAAAAGTGTAGTCACAAAAAGCGCGCCCTGCGTATCAAGGACTAAAAATAGAGCTCCTACGCACACACACACACACAGACACACACCCCAAACTTATTCCCACACATGTAGCCACTAACAACGTCATTGATTTATTACCAGCAAACTCTATTGGTGCTTTAGTGTACTTCACTTCTAGGTGCTGAACACACACACACACACTCTCGTGTGTGGAGCACACAAAACGAAACCATCATCAGTCACCAGACAAACAAACACAGAGGCGCAGTGCAGCGTCATATACAAAAACGTGCATACATTATGGCGCCGATATGTAAAACTTATAGAAGAAGTAGTTATAGAGGAGAAACGGTTAGAACGGCATGTCCTGTCTGGCTGCCTAACCAGCCCACTCTGGCAGCCAGCTTGCCTCCTCTCCTGTCTGCAAGCCCAACTAACTTGGCCAGGGCAATGTCTCTGGGTGGCGCGTGTTCTCGGCTAGAAACACGTACAAGAAATCATGAAATGTTGCCGCCATCATACCGAAAATTGTACGGTAACGTGCTGGCAATCAAAGCACAACATACTCGTCCATGCCGGCAGGACCGGCGAACGAAGGAGCAACACAACTGCAGGGGAGGGCGGAATGGGGCCAAGTCACGGCTGCCACTAGCACACGTCTGATTTTTACTACACACGTGTCTGATGTGACGTCGACAATGCGCCGCCTGCTGCTTACAACTCTGCCTACTGGCAGCCACCAAGCCAGTGGAGCACTACCGCATTGGCGGTAGTGGCACATTGAGAAAATTTCAAGCACCAAAATGTATAGCATGGCTGACGGCAGGCAGCCCAAACGTGCCGCATATGTGTGCACCATGCACATTGGTATAATATTGAGTCCGACTTGATATTTATGGAGGGCAGAATTGATTAGAAGCGTAGGGCGTCTCCTACACACCTTACCTGCATACATTTGAAATCTAAGAAAATGATGTTTTCTACTCAGAGATTATTAATATTATTCATTTCATTTCGCCACTATCGTGTATTTCACATTAACTTATAGCTAAAAGGGGTTTAAATGCTAGCAATTATTAAAAGAATAATGTCTGCTCTAGGGGTTGCAAAGAAAAACTATTTTTAAAATGAAAAATTATTTAATTAAAAAATCAATTTAAAACAAAACGTTTACAAACATCTAAATTGCACATTAAATCAGAAGTATTGGCATAAAAGTCGTTTATAAAAATATTCTAAAAAAAAGAAAATCTTCATTCGATTAATCAATTCCCTCGAATGTCGAACCACTGTGCACATTTTTGAATGTTGGTTCTGCTGCTTTTTGCTGTTTAAGTAAGCATGCAAATGTCACATACAGTCAGTCAGCCAGTCAGTCGACCTTCTCGTCCTCATCCTCGTTCTTATCCTTCCAAGTCCTCGTAGCTGTCGGCGTGATAAGCAGTCTCAGTTATCAACGTGGTAGGTGAAATAGATGCATAGTTTTGTGCGCGCTTACACACACACACACTCATAGATAGATATATACATTCAGGTATGTGTGTGTTTTTATGCAACTTGACTGCTACATAAATTATGAGGTACGTTGGCTTTGTTCGTTGGCACGTCTTCCGTGTGTGGCGCGCGTAGCGTCAAGAATTTAGTGATTTCCCCAAGCATGTGGCATACTTCTGGGCCAAATTTTTATTATGGGTATGATTTGGTTGCGGCCTGTGCAAGGTGCTTGCCGCTCATAAGAAGTTTGGTTTATGGTTATTGATTTTGCACGGTGTATTAGAGGCGACTGCGCTCGAATAGTTGGGTAGTTTGACAGTTTGACTTATGGCTTGTGGGCCGATATGGGCGAAGACAGGAAATACAAGACAAGAAATTTTTGCTTACTTAAATGAAATTGTGTTACAAAACTGCACGAGTATCTCTTTCCAAAGCTTAAGCTTGAGAGTATAATACAAGTTGTAATTTGTTTTACAATTTGAATTAGGAAATTGCCATAGCATTTATAAACTAGAAAGAAATTTATTTATTCAACTCATTTCAAATTCCTCAACTTTTAACATTGACATTTCTCCAAATGTTGATATCCCTATTATTTGAACAATAAAGCATAACTACCAATTGGGAATTGAACGAATCCAAGCTTACACAATATAGCTAGCTCTGCATATTATCTTCATCTTATATTCTATGCTTGTCGAATACTGCTTGTCATTCATCTTGCATTTCATAGCCAACACCACTCAACGGCTCGTATATATGCCAAGCCAGTGCCCGGATGGCCTATATTATTTCGCATATTAATAAACACATACAAGTACACATAAAACTAGCCAAACCACATAGGAATCAGAGCAATCCCTCCCCTCCTAACATGCTGCAGTTCCCCATTTCGCTTGGAGGCCAAAGCTTTTAGTGCCGATCAAAAATTCATAGCGTACAACAAGAGGTGTCAATAACATTGGCTACATTACTGACATTTCTGGTGTCTTTACTACGCCCAGCCCGCTCTGCCATTATAGAGTAGTGTGAAAAAGCAGGCCGGCGCCGCCACCACCACCACCACACAAAACAAAAATGTAATTTACAATTACTGCACGCACAGACAATTTATTTTCCACTGCTAACAAATAAGCTAAACATTTTCGTGGTCGTCTCTCAAGTCGAGTGGCTTCCATCTCCAGTTACAGTTCCAGTTTCAGTCCCAGGTGTATAGCAAATCAAAAAATCAGGCAACAAGCAAAGCGCACGCACACGCCCGGGCAATCAGTTAAATGTTTGTTGAACTCGCAACCGTCGAGACTGGCAAAAGGACTCTCATCCTCAGAAGTGCATGTGTTGGCCCCAAAAATTGAGTTTACTCCGCCAAAACCACCAGAAAAACTCAACAGCAACCAAATGAAATGCCAGACGCTGATGCGCCAAGTTGAAAAATCGTTTGTCGCAAGCGGCACGCCGGCTCGGGTGCGGAGGAACCGATCTGCCTCACTCACGCGCAGACGTAGTGATTTGGCTTTAAAAAAAATATATATAGAAAAAGTTGAAACGGAATGGGAAGCGGGCTAAAAAAAACTGCCACGTAATGAAACTGACAATTTAACGCAGTTGTGTGTCTTGAAAAATCGTGTTATCGATTTAATGCGTGGCACACATACAGGCACATACGAGTATGAACGCGCACTCGGAACGATAAAGGGCTTACCCGCCCGAAATGGGGTTGAATTTCCTCTTTCCTGCGGTTTGATTTGCTCTGCTGTTGCTTACTTGCTCGTCTTTGTGACTGACTGACATTTCCGTGCGCTTCCAACTTTGGTTTTGGCCTTTTCTTTTCTTTTTTTGGCCGCTTAATGGCTGCCACTGCCTTCAAAGGCATTTGATTAATTTGAAGCAGTTTTCAATTTGAAATTGCTTTAGTTCCTTCTTTTTACAGCTTTTCCCTATTTTCATTTTTTCTCCATTTTTGTGTGTTTCAAGGCGTTCGAGTTGGCTGGCAAGGGTTACTTTTACTTTGTGTAGAGTGTGTGGCCAGCAATTGACAGCTCGGCAGAGCCTCGACTATAAGCCGTAACCAAAAACTTAGTGGCAAGTGATGTGCTCGTATGTGTATATCTCTGTTTGTGTGTGTGTTTGTGTGTTGAAAGCTGCTTATAGAATTTTAAGTGTTTTTTTATTGAATGTTGTAAGCCATTGCATATCGCATTTGGGCAGCGACAGAACACACGATGGAAGTTGAGTTAGGTTTAGGTTTTTCTTTATTATAAGCCACCTAAATACTAAAGTGATTTTTTGTACTAATTTTACAACTTTCTGCTTCTTCTTCTCTTTTTAGGTACGTATGAACAATTTTATGATTGCTCTAAAAATTTAACAACCCTCGAACGTAAGTGTACGAAATTGATAACGAATGTTTCTGGGCTCAATGAAAATTGTATAAATGCAGGTTATGTTTGTGGTATTATGAGCCATGAATGAAAAATAAAACTACAAGGATCCTACCTAAATAGTAATCTGTGAATTTGTAAGGACCCTAAACCCTAAAAACCTCTACCTAAAAGCAGAGCTAATAATTGGACTATGTTAGACAATGTCTTTTAATTGTGTTTCTCATACTCTAAAGATCACCTAACTAGACCATTTGACTCAGTCAGACCAACTGATTCAAGAAATCTACAAATTACAAATTGAGGCGAAATTTTCCATGATAAGTAGGTATAGTTTCTTTGGTTGGTGTAAATTAAATCCATTTTGTTCGCTTTTCATTATTTTCCGATACGATAGAATTAAATATATATAAAACAGAGAAGAATAATACACTATTTACAAGAATTGTATTAGGACATTAAGATAAACTTCTTCCGAATCAGAGTCATTGATCCTTTAACTCATTCCATACCCATACACCAGCAATACGAGTAGTTATTTTCGAAAAGTAAAGCTAGAATGTGCAGATGTAGGACTTGGTGAGCACACTAACGCATACTTCCATTCTCATTATCCTTTACGTACAATTTGCCAACATTTGTTGTTTATCGTTGCGCACCATAACACACACACACCCACAGGCACACACGCGCACTGCTGTAAA